AAAAAAAAAAAAAAAAAAAAAAAAAAAAAAAAAAAAAAAAAAAAAAGTACCAGCACAGTACATGCTACACAGTAGGCATTCAATGAGTCATGGATATTATTTTTCATTATCATTTATAGCATCAGTTTCTTAAATTCATTATTTAGTAGGGTTATGTTCAATGAAAAAAAAGGTTATGGCTGGGTGTAGTGTCTCACGCCTGTAATCCCAGCACTTTGGGAAGCCTGAGGTCAGGAGTTTGAGACCAGCCTGGCCAGCATAGTGAAACCCCGTCTCTACTAAAAATACAAAAATTAGCCGGGCATGGTGCAGGCGCCTGTAATCCCAGCTACTCGGGAAGCTGAGGCGGAGAATTGTTTGAACCTGGGAGGTGGAGGTTGCAGTGAGCTGAGATCATGCCACTGCACTCCAGCCTTGGCAACAGAGTGAGACTTTGTCTCAAAAAAAAAAAAAAAAAGGCTAGGCGCGATGGCTCACGCCTGGAATCCTAGCACTTTGGGAGGCCGAGGCGGGCAGATCACGAGGTCAGGAGATTGAGACCAGCCTGGCCAAAATGGTGAAACCCTGTCTCTACTAAAAACACAAAAAATTAGCCGGACGTGGTGGCACGTGCCTGTAGTCCCAGCTACTCAGGAGACTGAGGCAGGAGAATCGCTTAAACCTGGGAGGCAGAGGTGGTAGTGAGCTGAGATTGCACCACTGCACTCCAACCTGGGCAACAGAGCAGACTCGGTCTAAAAAAAAAATAAAAATAAAAAGTTATACCTGGGAGGGGAAAAGTCAGCTAAACAGTAAATTTGAAAATTCTGTGAGACTTCTTAGATACTTACAGTTAATCCATTTCTTAGAAATGTAAGCTCCTGCTAGGCGCTGTAATCCCAGGGCTTTGCGAGGTGGATTGCTTGGGCACAGGACTTAAAGACCAGCCTGGGTAACGTCGTGAGACCTCCTCTTTAGAAAACATTAAAAAAATTTGCCAGGCGTGGTGGCACATGCCCGTGGTCCCAGATATTCGGAAGGCTGAGGTAGGAGGCTGGAAGGTTGAGGCTGCAGTGAACTGTTACCACTCCACTGCATTCCTGCCTGGGTGACAGAGCAAAACTCTGTCTCCAAAAAAATAAATGTAAGCGCCTAACAGAAATGAGCCCTGTATGTTGGGAACAGTGCCTACCACTGTCTGAACAGTCCAGAACGATTTACTGAAATTGGTGGTGGGGCTGGAACACAGTGGTATGCAAACTGGTACTCCAGGGGCTATTTGTCTCTCAAATTTCTAAGAGGTTTTGCCTCTATGTGGGACATCTCATCTGCCAGATGTAGTGACAGTGAGTCAGGACAAGAAAACATTATACTAACATTGTGTTGTTGTATCAGGACATTGCACCCCAGTTTTTTGTTGTTGTTTTGTTAGCACTTCCTGGGATCATTTGATAAAGAAGTCACTTAAGGAGAATGCCTTGTGTGTATTTTTTTTTTTTTTTTTTTTTTGATAAAGAAGTCACTTAAGGAGAATGCCTTGTGTGTATTTTTTTTTTTTTTTTTTTTTTTTGAGACGGAGTCTTGCTCTGTTGCCCGGGCTGGAGTGCAGTGGCCGGATCTCAGCTCACTGCAAGCTCCGCCTCCCGGGTTTACGCCATTCTCCTGCCTCAGCCTCCCGAGTAGCGGGGACTACAGGCGCCCGCCACCTCGCCCGGCTAGTTTTTTGTGTTTTTAGTAGAGATGGGGTTTCACCGTGTTAGCCAGGATGGTCTCGATCTCCTGACCTCGTGATCCGCCCGTCTCGGCCTCCCAAAGTGCTGGGATTACAGGCTTGAGCCACCGCGCCCGGCCGCCTTGTGTGTATTTTTTAAATTGACTTCTGAATTCATTTCCTTATCACTATTACTATTTGCATTATTATATGTATGCTGTCTTTGTTCATGTGAAATTCTTCCTCTTACAAAGGCATGGTTCTAGTAATTGTGATATATAGGAAGGCAGAACACCTGAGTTCTGATCTCTGCCATAAGTGCTCGGACTTTTATCTTGTTCTTTTTTTTTTTTTTTTTTTTTGAGACGGAGTCTTGCTCTGTCGCCCAGGCTGGAGTGCAGTGGCGCGATCTCAGCTCACTGCAAGCTCCACCTCCTGGGTTTACGCCATTCTCCTGCCTCAGCCTCCCGAGTAGCTGGGACTACAGGCGCCCGCCACCTCGCCCGGCTAGTTTTTTGTATTTTTTAGTAGAGACGGGGTTTCACCGTGTTGGCCAGGATGGTCTCGATCTTCTGACCTCGTGATCCGCCCGTCTCGGCCTCCCAAAGTGCTGGGATTACAGGCTTGAGCCACCGCGCCCGGCCTATCTTGTTCTTCTCAGCACTGGGAGAATAAATTACTATAGTCCATGAAATCACCTGAAATCCCTTGGTAGTGCTTTTTATCACAAGTGTTTTGGGATCTCTCGGCCGAATTGTCTTTTTTCCTCTTTCATTCTTGCTCTTTAGAGATTTTAAAGATTGGCATGCTATTTGATTTTATTTGGTTTTATTAAGCCTTTTATTAAATAACAATATTAGGAAAATGCAGGAATTTTATTTTATTTGAGATGGAGGTTCGCGCTTGTCGCCCAGGTTGGAGTACAGTGGCGTGATTTTGGCTCACTGCAACCTCCGCCTCCCATATTGGTCAGGTTGGTCTTGAACTCCTGACCTCAGGTGGTGATCTACCCGCCTTGGCCTCCCAAAGTGCTGGGATTATAGGCGTGAGTCACCGTGCCCGGCCAAATGCAGGAATTTTATTTCCTCCAGTGCCTTCACCTCCTTTCTACATTCTTTGATATTTGGCTTCCTTTAGGTGCCAGCGTTTTTCTCTGTCAATTTTTACCAACAATATTCTCAGCCAGAACTCGTGTCTTTCTGCTCCTGGCATTGGCATGATTTCTTTTTTCTGCTTGGTTTTTCTAGTGTGCTTTGGCACCAGAGGCTGTTGTGTTTTCTTGTCCATTGTCAGTATATGTTTTCTGAATTTCGCTTCCTGTTTGTATTCCACTTATAGTCACTTATGATTTCTTTGGGCCCTCCCCACAGGTGACAGTTCCTTCTTTCTTCGAACCTGGCTCATGACCCCACTTCACATTCCTGAAACTCCAGCAGAATATCGCTATAATATGGCCCATTCTGCAACTCACAGTGTAATTGAGAAGACTTTCCGAACCCTCTGCTCCCGATTCCGCTGCCTGGATGGATCCAAGGGGGCACTGCAGTACTCACCAGAGAAATCCAGCCACATCATCTTGGCCTGTTGTGTTCTCCACAACATCTCCCTGGAGCATGGGATGGATGTTTGGTCCTCTCCAATGACAGGACCCATGGAACAGCCCCCTGAAGAAGAGTATGAGAACATGGAGTCCCTGGACTTAGAGGCTGACCGTATTCGTCAGGAGTTAATGCTCACTCATTTTAGCTAATGTAGAAGGTGGAGAGGAGGGAGACTTCCCAGGAGTTGTGACAGACTTTCTTCCTCATCACCTTCTACACAGTTCCATCATCTAGCATGACTGAGTATTCAGATACTTGTCATAAACTGACATTTAATCTGTGTGTTTTGGTAAGGTTGGGGCTATGCCGGAATGTCTTGATTCATTTGCAAATGCATTAAACCGAAACCAAGACAGCGGTTACCTACTGTGCAGTGAACTCCAGGTTGAGTACCACTAATTTGAAAGCTCAGTGGTTGCAAACATTTATGATTGTGCCTATGAAGTCATAGTAAAGGTCAGGAGTTCAAGACCAGCCTGGCCAACATGGTGAAACCCCATCTCTACTAAAAATACAAAAATTAGCGGCCAGGCACGGTGGCTCATGCCTGTAATCCCAGCACTTTGGGAGGCCGAGGCGGGTGGATCACCCGAGGTCAGGAATTCAAGACTAGCCTGGCCAACATGGCGAGACCCTGTCTCTACTAAAAAGTGACAGGTGCCTGTAATCCCAGCTACTCGAGAGGCTGAGGCAGGATAATCGCTTGAACCTGGGAGGCGGAGGTTGCGGTGAGCCAAGATCGTGCCATTGCACTCAGCCTGGGCAACAAGAGTGAAACTCCGTCTCCGAAAAAAAAAAATTAGCCGGGCGTGGTGGTACACACCTGAAATCCCAGCTACTTGGGATGCTGAGGCAGGAGAATCCAGGAGTCGGAGGTTGCAGTGAGCTGAGATCATGCCACTGCACTCCAGCCTGAGTGGCAGAGCAAGACTCTTTCTCGAAAAAAAAAAAAAAAAAGTCATAGTAAAGGGGAAAACAGCATATAGTCAAAACACATTTTTGGTTTCAATTATCTGCAGATTTCAGATGAAAACAATATTTACATAGGCCGGGTGCGGTGGCTCACGCCTGTAATCCCACAATCCCAGCACTTTGGGAGGCCAAGGCGGGCAGATCAGGTGAGGTCCGGAGTTTGACACCAGCCTGACCAATATGGTGAAACCCCGTCTCTACTAAAAAATACAAAAATTAGCTGGGCATGGTGGCATGCACCTGTAATCCCAGCTACTCAGGAGGCTGAGGCAGGAGAATTGCTTAAACCCAGGAGGCAGAGTTTGCAGTGAGCCAAGATCACGCCATTGCACTCCAGCCTGTGCAAGACTCCATCTCAGAAAAAAAAAAAAAGGAAAACAATATTTACTTGTTCTGGATTATCTGGGTGGCATTTTAGTTTTTCTACTTTGTTGCCTATATAGGCATAATCTGAGGCAAATGTGAAGAGAGAATTTCAGTTGGGGAATGGTCTTCTGACAGTAAATGGCTACTAATCCCAGTCTCCAGCTTTGTGCTTTTAAGAGGATATTTTAAAGACAGTCAGAAACCTCCATCTTTAGCCTGTCTGCAATAATTGGACTGTGACTTGGACCTAAATCCTAGGGAGAACATCTGGACTCCAGTTTCCTATTTCCAACCCTGAGTCGGAGTTAGAGGCTAAATGGGTTTAAGAACCCAATCAGCTTAAAAAAGGCAATTTGAATATAGATAAAATAGCAAGCTTATGCTTTACAAGCCATCTAAGGACTGAGAGAGATTGATGAGCAATGCGGATTCACCCAGGTTCAGACACCTCACATTAAACTAGATCACATTTCTTACAACTGTGATGTTAGAAAGTCTGTTTGGTCATTCTGTTTTGAAATTCCTTGTACAAAAGGAAGATTCAGGGAATAAAGAAGGCATGTGAAAGTATTAAAAAGGAGAGGTAATAGGAATATAATTTGTTGGCTTGAAATGAATTCTGGCGCTAGACCTTGGATATGCGGAGTGATGGACAGAATTTCCCAAGAAATAAATAATCCCCTAGCAAGTCTTGTTCTAAAATTACACTGATATAAAAATAACCTGATTAGAATAATGAAAGTGTGAATTAGGTTCACACATTGGTGCCTCTGCTGGGACAAAAAAGAGACTTTCCTGAGGGTTGTCTTGTTCCCAGTTTCTCAGCCACTCACCATGTGATACCTCTGACTTGTCCTCTTGGATCATTTCCTACCTCCTGCCTTTGGCAGTGTTAATCTGGTGATTTTCAAAGTAAAGAAATGAACAGCTGATGACAGAAGAAATTTGGAAATAAATTGAGGGTGACTCATCCTCAAGATTAAAAACAATTATGGATTATTATCTGCTGTTTTATTTCTACTCCAAATGCTATTCACCATCATTATCCTGCTCTATAAAGAGAGGGTCCATTTGGCAGTAGGTTGTGCTTAAAATGTTCAGGGATGTCATTGAGGTGGGAATGGACAATGAAGAGTTGGCTAGAAATATTAACTCTATTCATTGTGCAACAGAGGTGCCTGGTTACATTTTTTTTTTCTTTGTAAAGTTCAACTTGTGACACAAGCTTGCTTTGTTTCCCTCATAAGGCAATGTTTTAATTCTCAAGGTCTTTCCTTTTTAAGTCTTTTAAGATGGGTATTTTCCCCATAAAGTTTTGGTTCTGTTTGGTATATCCCATCAGGAAAGGGTTACTGCCAAACATGTATCATAAGTGGCAAGGTGAAGTGTGATCATGGAAAATGCCTTGCATTTTAGCCTTACATAACTACATTTAAGGAAAATTGGAGTTTTTCACAACTCACTAGATGGTGACATAAAAGACTGAGTGGGATGGACAGTCTTGGAGAGATTTCAAAAGCAATTTCAAGTCTGTTTACTTGCACACCAAAGATAATCTAAGTGCTGAGCTGACTGAACATTGGCTGACTGTGTTTTTTCCTGGGAGCATTTTATTTTCTAATAATCCCATAGGGAAACTATTCAGATCTACACGTTTAACCTCCTTTCAACCTGTAGTTTTGCAGGCCAGGAATTTTTTTTTTTTATTTTTATTTTTTTTTTTTTTTTTTTTGTCATTAGTTATTTCCCCAAAATGATGTAGGGGAAGGATCATGGTCTGTACTTCCAGATTGCCAAGGGTATCTTCATAGGGGCTTTTTATAAGTGTCTGAGAAAGCTTCTGCCTTTGTGGTCCTTAGTGTGGATTTATAGCTTTTTTCTGGCATGGTTTTGGGAAAGAATCAAGAATTTTCTCCGTCTTATGTAAGCCTTATTTTCCCATAGATAACTCCATCTGGCCAGCATAGTAGTTTTCCAGATTTACCCTTAGATGTTTCAAGGCAGTAAGGTCTCAGGATATATCAAAGGAAAACAATATTGGGTGACCACCAATTTACCAATTCCAAATTATACAAAAGAGGGACCATAAACATATTCTTGGTTTAAGTTAACCGAATAGGGATGAAGGTGTTTTCCTGATCCTAGGACTGTAAAGGATCTAGACCAAGTTAATCTAACTTAGGGATAAAAAACAAGACACAATTGTAATGGAGTCATATAGTGACGACATAGAAGAGGTGGGTAACGGTGAAAGAGGCTAGACAGATCATAGATATAATAAGATTTTATCTCTATCTGAAACAAACTGAAAATAGCCACAAGACTGAGCTTCGTAGTTACTTTCCCTGGCAGTGGAGGGGAAGTTAGAAGGAGGACAAGAAAATAAGAAATGAAAGGGTTTTTGTGCATACACATGTCCTCAGGGCCCATTTTGCTCTCTAGATCCTGCCAAGATTTTCCAAAATTGTTGTGGGTATGAGAAATCACAGATTCAGGATGAAGACTTTGTTGATTATGTAGAAAGGAAGGAAAAATACTAGCTGAAGGCTGGGGACATGCTAGTTTCCTAACACATAAAATTCATAGACTTTTTTTATCACACAGAAATCCTTGTTCTAAAAAAAATTTTTTTTTTTTTTGAGACAGGGTCTTGCTCTGTTGCCAAGGCTAGAGCAGTACAGTGGAGTGATCTCGGCTCACTGCAGCCTCCACCTTCCAGGCTCAAGTGATCCTCCCATGTCAGTCTTCTGAGTAGCTGGGACTACAGGCACACACCACCATACCCAGCTAATTCTTGTATTTTTTGTGTAGCAATGGGGTTTTGTTACATTGGTCTCGAACTCCTGGATTCAACTGATCTGCCTGCCTTGGCCTCCAAAAGGTGCTGGGATTGTATGCGTGAGCCCCTGTGCCTGGCCCTGAATTTTTTTTTCTTTTTCTTTTTTTTTTGAGACGGAGTCTCACTCTGTCGCCCAGGCTGGAGTGCAGTGGCACGATCTCGGCTCACTGCAACCTCCACCTCCCTGGTTCAAGCCATTCTCCTGCCTCAGTGTCCTGGGTAGCTGGGATTACAGGCACGTGCCACCATGTCCAGCTAATTTTTGTATTTTTAATAGAGACAGTTTCACCATGTTGGCCAGGATGGTCTTGATCTCCTGACCTTGTAATCTGCCCACCTCAGCCTCTCAAAGTGCTGGGATTACAGGTGTGAGCCACCATGCCTGGCCCTGAATTTTTTTTTTTTTTTTTTTTTT